GCGGGGGGTGCAGCCCAGGGCATGGTTGGCTTTCTGGGCTGCCAGCACACGTTGCCGGCTCCTGGCCAGCTTTTCACCCCCCAGCACCCCCAGGTCCCTCTGGGCAGGGCTGCTCTCCATCCCTTCACCCCCCAGCCTGTGAGGATCCCGGGGGTTGCCCCCACCCGGGTGCAGGACCCTGCCCTTGGCCTTGCTGGACCTCGTGAAGTTCTTTGTGGAAGGGTGCCTGTGAGACGAGGGCTTGCCCTTCCCAAAAGCCCCTCTGCTCTCCATCTCGCTTCTGTGGCTCCTTATCTTTGCAGCTGGAGACGCTGGTCCTGCGGATCTGCTGCTGCTCCCTCCTCTCTCCTGGTTCTCTGTCCTGCAAAAATTGGGGTAAAACCTCCCTGGCACAGGGCACACAGGTGACCTGGGAAGCGGCCCGGGGGCTGCTACGGGCTCTCCCAGAGGGGGAGCTCCTTTACCTCGACAAGGTTTTGGTTGGGTTTTATTTTTAACTAACAAACCAATCTTTGTTGGCAGGTTACCGTGCCTTTACCAAGGCCAACGATGGAAGCATGTGCCTGGCCATGGAGTACGGAGGAGAAAAATCTCTCAGTGACTTAATCGATGACAGAGCCACAAACCAGCTGGGCCCTTTCCCTGCTGCCACGATTTTCAAAGTCGCCTTGAGCATGGCGAGGGGGCTGAAGGTACGGTTAACGTGAACCGTAGCTGCTCGGTGTCGAATCAAAGTCACTGCTGACATGGGGAAAAGACATGAATTTGGGGTGCAAGAAGGCGGTGCCGGCAGAGGGAGGGCAGATGCCCTGGCCCTTCGTTAGGAGGCCTTGGTGGGGTTTTTGGGTGGGTTTTTAGGTTGTGGGGTTTGTTTTTTTTTTTTACCAGGCTGCTGTACAGACTCGGGTGAAAACTGAGCCCCAAAACTTGAGATTGAAGTCATATAAAAAAAATAAATGCAACAGGGGCGGTTGTCACAAATGCCCCGCTGCCCTCCCCTGGGGCTACCTGCTGTCCCTGCTTGCTAGCCGGCGAGGAGGCCAGCCTTGGCAGTGACAATGGCTAAGACAACGCCACGG